GGTAATTTTTGATTGTGATACGTGCTCTGAACGGAGTAAATATGGTGATACAGTAGAGGGCAACTCTACAGCAGAGGGTATCTATTATAAGGAGATGACATTGGAGTTGAGCTCTGTGTGCTGGGGCAAAGCTAGTCATGTGAGGGTGAGCAGAGTACCTTCCAGTGAGAAGGAAAAGGAAATGCAAAGGCTGCAAGATGAGAGGGAGCTTGGCGTGGTTGAGGAACTGGAGCAGGTGGGAGAAGAAGAGGCTGGGAGAATACACAGGATCCAGATCACTTAGGCATCCGCCAACTGTAGTAAGGAGTGGTAAGTTTTTTGAAGGTTGCAAGCAGAGGTGACATGTGGTCTAATTCATTAAATCTTAAATCCTCACTAAAGATTAGGGCTTCCCTCCAATCTCTGCTTTGTAGAGGAGTTCCCCATAGAGGGATTCTCTACTTCCTTGCTGGGGCTGAAGCCTCATCCTCACCCCAGGGATTCTGCTTCCTGCCTGGGTCCCTACTTGGTTGCCCCTCCTTCTCTCTGACCTTGGTGATCATCACTATCTAGGTATCGCTTCTCCATTACCCTCCCTTCAGTTCAAACAAGCTCAGACAGTCACGCTGGCTAAGCCTGAATTCAGTGTGCTATCTCTTTGCACGCTGGTCGTTGAACCACTGTGAGTCAGCCTCAGAGTCCGGATGGGTCTCCACGCTCTTCCCACTTTCACTGACCTGTACCACACATGTCCTAGCATGCCTTCTGAGGTCTCAACTCATGAGAGATACTCTAGTGCTTAGTATCTCCAAATAGAAACAACCCAAAGTAGAAGAGAGATACGTTGTATGCTTTGTCTTGTTCTGGTCATGTGAATCTTAATTGTTATAGATAGACAGGGTTTCCCAATCCTAATTAGAACATTAGTCCTTCCTTCCTTCCTTCCTTCCTTCTTCCTTCCTTCCTTCCTTCCTTCTTTCCTTCCTTCCTTCCTTCCTTCCTCCCTCCCTCCCTCCCTCCCTCCCTCCCTTCCTTTCTTCTGTCTTTTTTCTGTCCTTTCTTCCTTTTCTCCCATCTTTACTCTTTTCATCCTTCCTACCTCAATATCTATAAGAAGGATAGAATCCTTTAATGATTTATGAACATGATAATCCTGGTAATAATACTAATAATGATTATGATGATAATAAAATAATCATATCTGGCGTTTATTGAACATTTAAATGTGCCAGGCATTGAACCAAGCCCCTTACATACATATAATCTCATGAATCCTCACAACTCTAATGGGTAGTGTTAATATCTCTGTATTAACACATGAAGAACTCGAAACCTTTTAAAGGTTAAGGCACTTGTCAAGGCTGCCCAGGAAGGCAAAGGACAGAGCTGGTTGGTCCAATGCAGAGGCTGTGTTCTTCACTACACTTTTTGTGATGGCTTGTATTGCTAAGCATGACTGAGCCTATATCCCGTACTGAGAACTTTGTAAAATATGCACACGTAGAGACAAAGCATCTTTAACTCTCATGTGGAACGAGATGGCTGTAATTAAATGAAGGGCTCCTGGATCTAGGCAGACAGGCAGTTCTGATATTCACCTCTCCTTCCTCCTCCTAGAAGTGCTGAGAGAAACCCTCAACCACTGTGTTTTGTGGGGAAGGTCTGGCTCACTTGGAAAAAGCCATTGTGTGTGTGTGTGCATGTTTTTATGTCTATCATTCTGTGTCATGAGTGCTGAACCACCGCAGATTCCCTGTCCTTCACTCTGAGGTCAGTTTACATCAATAAGGCGATATCTCCATCAATTTCTGTTTCCCCACAAGATGCTCTACCTACTGCTAGCTGTGCTTCTTTGCATGTTCAAAGGGAAATCTATGTTTTGCTAACCTGAACCCTTCATTTACCCCACACTCTCCCTCCAGTGGTCCTGGTGGCGATGGTGGTAGTGTATGTGTTGGGGAAGGAGGGGTCCATTCATTCTGACCACTGTGGCTTAAGAAGGGACGTTTTAGGTCCTCTTCTGAGGGATCCTCAAACCAATTTGAGGTTTATGCCAAAAACAAGATTATCCATTGAACAAATACAGCCACCATAATCCTTCTTTCCTCTTCAGCCTCATTAAATACCCCCGTCACCAGGCTCAGCAATACCCCACGGGTGTGATAATATAATCACCGTATGCCCATTAGCGGGTTGGCTCAGTTGCAGCATTTACTTTCAGAATAAGTACACCTTCGAGATGACTTCTTTATAAAAGAATGTAATTTAAAATAAAAACCAGAAGAGTTTTGTATTTTAAGTTGTTGATCACCAAAGAAACAGGTCCTATTATCATTTACTTTCCTCTATCAAATAAGACATCATTGCACAGAGGTATTTACTTGACTAGGCAAAGCACACAAAGAGACATACAAAATCATCATGCACAACAGTCTCTAGGAAATTAGAGTCCAGGATGAAATACTATTATGCTTTAGGAAGCCTTTGTAGCCTAGAGAATTGTTTCTAAAGAAGATACCAACACTAAACTAACAGCTAGACACTTTTGTTTGTCTTGTGAGTTGTCACTTTTTAATATATTTTTAATATGGTGATATTGCATGTGTTTGGTCAAATTAGGGTGTATGTTTTTCCATATCAGTGAATTTTCCAGATAACTGGGCCTTAGCATTTACCCCATTGGAAATGGCTTATTTTAAGTTTTTTTCTTTAAAGGGAAACCATTATTTAATGTATCAAATACTTCTTTGCTTTTTGAAACAGAAAATACAGAAACCAAGTTAACCTTTCCTTAATGTCACAGACTACCATTATCAGCAGTTGTGGCAGAGAGAAAAAGTTCTGTATTTGAAATTATTTGATACTATGCACATGTTTATACTTTGCCGCTCTTCACAGAGAATTTGAGGCAGTTTAGAAAATTATATGTAATACAAAAGAAAAAGAGCAAATAATTGAAGGAATCAAGATGAAGGGAAAATAGGAAAGCCAGGGAAAATATCCATGAGAGAGATCCTGTCTTCATGTTCTGGTTCCAAGTGCTGGAAATCCAGCTTTGAGTTACTAGAGGACCAACAAGGAAGTAATTTCTGCATTATAAAATACTGCAGTAGTGAGGAATGGTGGAAATGGCCTTAAAGTTGACCAGAATTAGCTCCTGAGCACTGTCAGGACCCTCTCTGTAAGCTTCTCATCTGTTTTTCTATGCACTGGATCCTTATTTTTCTACTGTGAAAAGTGGGTGTGGTGATTTGGCTCATAGGAAAGCATGCATTTCTCTACCAGTTCTGGTGGAAAAATCTTGGAATAGGACTCTGATTGGCCCAGTTTGGGTCACATGAGCATACCTGGAGAGGTCTCTCTTGCTACGGGGATTTTTATTATGATCAAACCAATCTCATTCTAGTGCCTATATACTTGGGTGAGTCTGTTATCATATAAGGAAAAGAGATGCTATTCAAACAAAAGCAATAGTCACTATATAAGCATTCCACGCTAAATGTCAGCCAGATTTTCGCTTAAGCTTTCCAGTGGCCAAAACAAAGCAGGAAACATGGTTGCTTACATGATCCCCAATTTCTGTAACACAACAGAAAACAGGGGTTGGGAAGACAGTAGAAAAGAAGAGCCAGTTTTCTGAGGGAAACTCAGTTTTTCCTTGAGTTGATGCCAGAGGTTTCTATCACTTGGTGGTTATCTGAATTAGGGGACCATGGAATACCTGAATTTGCAATGTAGAATTTTAAGGAGCTCTGGTCCCAAACTTCCGAAGTTAGAATCGCATTCCCTGGGCTGAGCGCTAACACACAATTGTCTGTTTCTCTTTATCTCGCAATCCTACTCAGTCCCACTGGGGTCTGGGCAGTCTGCCTTTGCCAGGATTCAGAACTATTCCTGTTGCAAACAGTAGCAAAAACAAACAAAGGAAACATCCCAGATCTCATACCCATAGCAGGGAGTAGAGGTCTACACCCTCTCGGAGGAGTACTCAGACATACAAAAGAGGCTCTAAGAATCCAGAGACCTGAGTAACCCCAAGGAAGCCGTGGTCCCCGACCCGGGCTGCTGTTTTTAGACATAGCTGAACAGCTCGTATTAATCCAAGTGCAGAGATATTCTCCCAGGTTCGTGGTCGTGGAGCTGCGGATTGATTCGCACTCTTCTGCCAGGGAAAACATTAAGTGGCCTTTGGGGAAGCTCATATTTGTAATACATGGAGGGCAATTTGCCCCTCTATTCCTTGGTGACTTACCTCCCCTCCTGATAATTCCATTCTGAACCACAACCTTGCAGGAAGTACGTGTCGCTTCCTGAGTCGGAGATGCTATTCCAAGGCCTGTGGGTAGACTTGCATCCACCTCACCCCTCCACCTGCCCAAAAGCTCTCTCTTTTGCCAATATTAACACCAATTGCAGAGTTTCCCTACCCGAGACGGTCACTTGCTTATTTCTTTACTTCTGGTCATTTGTGTGATTGTTTTGGAGGACAGGGTTCCTGGTTCTTTGTATTTGGATCCTTCTTTAAACTAGCAAGTGATCTGCTTTATCACCTTCACTGGGCCAAGCAGGCAATGGCACCTTTCTGATTGTCTCCTATAGGTTAGAAACCATACAAGAAGGCTTATTAGAATCATGTAGAAACATGTATAAAGTTAGAGCCCACTGAGTTCTAAAATGTGTGTGTGTGTTTAAGGGGCTTTTTGAAAGCCATGCTTAGCTATATCAAGCCCTTCTCATTTATATCTAATTTCAGGACTAAATTTTGGTTAAGTTACCAGAAGCCTGGCATCTGAGTAAGTGGAACATAGCTGTTCTTAAAGAGACATCAAGTATCCTAGAAATTACTCACTCTGCATCTCTTACAATGACTAGTGGATACGTTTTGGGAACAGATCAGGGACCCAAATGAGTTGTTCTTGTGTCCACGGTGAAGAGCATCATCACTTCTCTTGTCCAATGTATTATATGCAAAAGAGAGACACACCTGACTTCTCTTTCAGAGGCACGAGTGTCTTCTGGATGGATATGGAGAGAAGAGCAACCTCCCCTACACATTATTGCTTAGATGAGCCGCCAGAGTGCTGGCATGTTCTGAAGAAGGCAGCAGAGAGGCGTGAGTGGTTGCAGAGGGAGCCCCGCGCCGAGCTGTCCCGGGGGCTCGAGACAGCGTCTCATCTAGATGCCCTGGAACTCGCCCAGCTTTGCTTCATGTGTTCCAAGCTCATTTTGGTATGTGCATTTGCATTTTCTCTGCCTTCCTCGGGGGACATGCTTTAAAGAGAGGGGATTGTGAATTTGAAGTTTCAGAGCTCAGCTTGCTAACACTCCACTAGAGGAAATCGTGGGGCAGAATGACAGGATCACTCCCTGGGCTTTAAGTACAAGAAAACAAGCCTGCCTGCCAGCCCCACTCTCACCCCCAACACCCGAGCGCGCGCGTGTGCGCGCACACACACACACACACACACACTCACACACACAGTGAGACTTAGGGCAAATTGCTTAATCATCCCAGACCTGTTTGTCCACCTGCCAGAAGAAGAAGCATGGTGCCCAGCCTCCAGCCAGCTGGGGGTCACGACGATTAAGGGCAAAGTGCCAAATGCAGTGGCTGCTCCATAGTCAGCACTCAATCTTTCTTTCTTTTTTTTAAAAGTAAGAAATATAGTTGCATGCCTAGATACTTTAAGGGCCAGCTGTGATGGTCCTGTCTCCATGAACCTCTCATAATTTCTTCATCTGGAAGTTGGTGCTCTGCAGACCCCTGGATGTGTACAGTCATGGTTTACTTTGTATTTGTACTGTGTGTGTGCATCTGTATGTGCGTCTGTGCTTCTTCTTGGATTTTTTTCAGTCCTTAAATTTACTTGTCCCAGACAGGAAATGTGGCTTTCTGTCTCCCTCCCTCTCTGTCTCTCTCTTTCTCTCTCTCTCTCCCTCTCTCTCCCCCATGCTGTGTATACAGGAAGGCTTAATAATTTTGTGACAAGTTTATTTATTTACCACCATGTGAGAGCTATTATTCTGTTCCAGGCTACTTACTAGGCACTTTATACTTGGTATCGTATTTAATCTCTATAACAGCACTAGGAGATGGGTTTTATTAACTGCATCCTTTTAATGACTATTTATATAGTCAATAAGACTATAATGATTTAGACCCCTACTGAGCAGATAAGGGAACCAAAGCTAGGAGGGATTGAATGACTTGCTTGGTGTCACAAAACTACCAGGTGGTGGATCTGGGACCCCAACTACTTATCTATGATTCTGACTCAGGCTCCCAATTCTAAGTAACCAATGGCACTCAAAGTGCGGCCCCCAGACCAGTAACATCAGCATCACGCAGGAGGTTGTTAGAAATGCAAATCACTGGGCCCAGCCCCAGACCTACTGAATCAGGAACTCTGGGGGTGGGTTCCAACAATCTTTGTCTAACAAGCCCGTCCAGGTGACTTTGATGCTTGCTCAGGTTTGAGAAGCCCTGCCCTGGATGCCATCAAGTCATGCCTGGAAGACAAGGGCCAGGAGAGAGCAATGGTGGGGTGCAGGGGCTCTGGCTCCTGACTGCCTGAGTTCAAAGCTGAGCGCCTCCACTTTCTAACCATGTGCCTCTGGGTATGATATTCATTGTTTCTGTGCCCCCCTTCCCTCATGAGTAAAGTGGGGATAATGACAGACTTCCAGTCACTGTGAAGATAAAATATATTGATACATGATACATGTAATGATATTGATACATGGTACAAGACACTGAACCAATACCTGGCACATAGTAGGGACTTGGTAAGTATTATTTGTCATTATTATGATTTAAAGATTTAAGATTACTTTTCTGAAATATTTCTTCACCATCCTGCCCAAAGCCTGAATTATTTTGTTGGTTTGATTTATTTTTTTTAGTTGAAGTATAGTTGATTTACAACTGCCATACAGCAAAGTGATTCAGTTATACATGTATGTACATACTTTTTAATATTCTTTTCCATTATGGTTTATCACAGGATATGGAATATAGTTCCCTGTGCTGTGCAGTAGGATCTTTTTGTTTATCCATTCCATATATAATAGTTTGCATCTGCTAATCCCAAACTCCCAATCCATCCCTCCCCCACCCCCCAATCTCTTGGCAACCACAAGTCTGTTCTCTATACCTGTGAGTCTGTTTCGTAGGTAAGTTCATTTGTGTCATATTTTAGATTCCACATGTAAGTGATATCATATGGTATTTGTCTTTTTCTTTCTGACTTACTTCACTTAATATGATAATCTCTTGTTCCATCCATGTTGCTGCAAATGGCATTATTTCATTCTTTTTTATGGCTGAGTAATATTCCATTGTATACATGTACCACTTCTTCTTTACCCATTCATCTGTGGATGGACACTTAGGTTGTTTCCATGTCTTGGCTATTGTAAATAGTGCTTCAATGAACATTGGGGTGCATGTATCTTTTCAAATTATACTTTTGTCTGGATATATGCCCAGGAGTGGGATTGCTGGATCATATGGCAACTTGATTTTTACTTTTTTGAGGAACCTCCATACTGTTTTCCATAGTGGCTGCACCAAGCTTTATTTTTTAGTAGAAGGAAAAATCACTTGGGCCTGGCCTTGCTTAGGTTTCTGAATTTCCCTTCTTGTGCTATGTCAGTGTTCTGAGGATTAACAATAGTCTTCTTCTTCTGAATTATCTACCCTTTCCTGAAAGGGGTGTGCTTTCCCTGAAGAAGGGTCTGCTGCCTGGGGTAGTGTAATACGATCTCAGGAGTAAGACTGGAATCTGTCTGCAAACATAAGTCATGTAGCCTTGGGTGTGCTCCTTAACATCTGGAATCTTCCTTTTCCTTATATGTGAAAAGGTTGGAAATTATCTTGGGAGGGGACACTAATATTTATTGAGCACTTGCTGTGTCCCAGGCATTATTCTAAGTGTTTCATGTGCATTATCTCATGCGAGCCTTAGTTACCTGCAAGGTAGGTAGTAACATCATCTCCACTTTACAGACCAACTGTCCCAGAGTACTCACTTCTTGGTAGTCACACAAATAGGATTGGAGTCCGTAAAGTCTGACTCCCAAGCCAACATGCTTTTTTTTCTTTTTATTGGAGTGTAGTTGATTTACAATGTTGTGTTAGTTTGTGGTGTACAACAAAGTGATTCAGGTATACATATATTTGTACATATATTCTTTTTCAGATTCTTTTACATTATAGTTTATTACAAGATATTGAATGTAGCTCCTTGTGCTATACAGTAGCACCTTGTTGTTTCTTTTATATATAATAGTTTGTATCTGCTGATCGCAAACTCCTAATTTATCCCTCCTCCTGCTTTCCCCTTTGGTAGCCATAAGTTTGCTTTCTGTGTCTGTGAATCTGTTTCTGTTTTGTAAATAAGTTCATTTGTATCATTTTCTTAGATTCTACATTTAAGTGATATCATAAGATATTTGTCTTTCTCTGTCAGACTTACTTCACTTAGTATGACAATCTCTGGGTCCATCCATGTTACTGCAAAAGGCATTATTTCATTCTTTTTTTATGGCTGAACAATGTTCCATTCTGTATGTATGTACACACATACACACACACATACACAAACACACACACACACACACACACACATTTTCTTTATCCATTCCTCTGTCGATGGACATTTAGGTTACTTCCATGTCTTGGCTATTGTAAATAGTGCTGCTGTGAACGCTGGGGTGCAGGTATCTTTTTGAGTTAGTTTTCTCCAGATATATGCCCAGGAGAGGGATTGCTGGATCATATGGTAACTCTATTTTTAGTTTTTTAAGGAATCTCCATATTGTTTTCCATAGTGACTGCACCAATTTACATTCCCACAGACAGTGTAAAAGGGTTCCCTTTTCTCCACACCCTCTTCAGCATTTATTATTTGTAGACTTTTTTAAAAAAATAAATTTATTTATTTATTTTTTGGCTGTTTTGGGTCTTCGTTGCTGCAAGCGGGCTTTCTCTAGTTGCAGCGAGTGGGAACTACTCTTCATTGCGGTGCGCGGGCTTCTTATTGCGGTGGCTGCTCTTGTTGCAGAGCACAGGCTCTAGGTGTGCAGGCTTCAGTAGTTGTGGCACGTGGGCTCAGTAAGTTGTGGCTCACAGGCTCTAGAGTACAGGCTTAGTAGTTGTGGTACATGGGATTAGTTGCTCCGCGGCATGTGAGATCTTCCCGGACCAGGGCTCAAACCCGTGTCCCCTGCACTGGCAGGTGGATTCTTAACGCCTCCGCCACCAGCGAAGCCCGTGTAGACTTTCTGATGATGCCAAGCCAACATTCTTAACCACAACTGTCTCAATGAGTTGTTGAGAGAAATAAGTGAAACGATGAATGTTAAACACAAAATGGTGCCTGACACATGGAAGTGCTTGTTAAATATTAGCTGGAACTAAGAAGAAGGAGAAGGAGAAGGGGAAGGGGAAGGGGAAGGGGAAGGAGGAGGGGAAGGGGAAGGGGAAGGGGAAGGAGGAGGAGAAGGAGGAGAAGGAGAAGGAGAAGGAGAAGAAGAAGAAGGAGAAGAGGAAGAGAAAGAAGAGGGAGGAGAAGGAGAAGGAGAAGAAGGAGAAGGAGAAGAAGAAGGAGAAGGGGAAGAAGAAGGAGAAGAAGAAGGGGAAGAGAAAGAAGAGGGAGGAGAAGAAATAATATAATATGGATGGAAGGGAAGTTTTTCCATTTGTTGCAGGTGGGATTTAATCTCCTGAGAACCAGGTAGAGAGACCTCTGTCTTGCCCACGAGTTCAGTCAGCACTTAGAAAAGATGCCTTCTCTCTCTTCCCCCGCTGGTGCACCATTGGTGTCATTAAGAGACAGTTAACACACATCATCTTTCTTAGCTATTTTTGCCGCCTGCCATCTGGAGTGCCTCAGCTCCCTTGGATGTGTTCACACTAAATCAGCAGAAGAAAGCATTAACTAATTTCTCCATTTCAGATCTGCTCATCTGGGTAACAATGACCTTTAAAACTAGTGTCATCCACCTCATAACCATATGCCATATGTTGGATGTCAGTTAATAAAGCATATTTAAACTTAGCAGGCTCCGTAATACCTTATGGCTGGCTGGTGATTAATTAGTAACTTCCTTACCAGCATCTTCTGGGCTAAGGCTGACGAGGCGTTTTGTTTGCCACTCAGGGTCCATTTGCCTTGGAACCTCTTGGAGCACACTCCGCAGAGACTTCATTGCGTCCTGAGCTTCCC